AGAAACTTTAAAAAGTTAAAAATTAAGCTTAAAAAAATGTTTTAATAACATTTAAGTAAAAAAAACAAAAAAAAAACCCTTTACCTAGTCCAAATAAAAATTAACCCCTTCCCTGCCAGTCGATCACTGCCTACAGCGATCAAATAGAGATCACAGTATTATACTGTGATCTAATTTTTTTTAACCCCTGAGGATTAACTTTTATTTATTTTTTTAACCCTCAGGGGTTCAATTTATTTAATTAATGAATTTAAATATTTTATAACTATATATTTTGCTAGCTGTGGTGGGTGGGAGTTATGGGAAAATGGGGAATTTACTGTTAGTGCTGCGTACTGCTAGTTAGGGGTTAACGGTAAAAAAAAAAAGCTTAGAAAAATGTTAAATCTGTAAAAAAGTTTTAAGAAAGTTTAGGAAAGTTTAAAAAAAATTTATAAGCAAAACAAAAGTTTAAAAACTAGTTTTTAAAAGTAAAAAAGTTATAAAAAGTAAAAAAATACATTTTAAAAACGCTCATTACCACTACACCTGGAGCAAACTAGAGAAAAAATTATCCCACGCCAAGGTTCAAAATATGCCTTTTGAATTACCCCAGGGTGTATTCTTTAATAAATAGTATGTGTTTGTGGGGAAGTTTCAATAACCAACCGTCTAAACTACTCCAAATTGGAACATGGACACAGCGTAAAACTTCAAAGTTAGAAAAAAACTGAATGGCTGCGTCTCAAATGCGCCCCTTCAACATCCACATATACCTGGCAAAGGTACATACGGGGGTATTGCTGTACTCAGCCGACATAGCTGAGCAACATATGAAGTATTATACAGTCATAGCACACATAAGGTTTGCAAAATATGCTGCGCAAACTCACTTTGTATGTCAAAAAGGCAGAAAAAATGCTTATTACCACTACACTTGGTACAAGCTAGCGGAAAAATGATCCCACGCTAAGGTTCAAAATATGCCTTTTGAAATACCCTGGGATGTCTTCTTTAAGAAATGGTATGGCTTTATGGGGAATTTGGATTATATAGCCTGGTAAAATACTCTAAAATGGGACATAGGCACAGCATAAAAATTCAAAGTTTGAAAAAAACTGGAATGGCTGTGTCCCAAATGTGCCCCTCCGATGTCCACACATACCTGGCAAAGGTACATACGGGGGTATTGCTGTACTCAGCCGACATAGCTGAGCAACATATGAAGTATTATACAGTCGTAGCACACATAAGGTTTGCAAAATATACTGTGCAAACTCACTTTGTATGTCAAAAAGGCAGAAAAAACGCTTATTACCACTACATCTGGTACAAGCTAGCGGAAAAATGATCCCACGCTAAGGTTCAAACTATACCTTTTGAAACACCCTGGGGTGTCTACTTTAAGAAATGGTAGGCCTTTGTGGGGTAGTTTGAATTTAAAACCTGCGAAGATGCTTGGAAATTGCACATAGGCCCAGCGTCAAAATTCAAAGTTTGGTAAAAACGGATATGGCTTGGTCTCCTATATGGCACTGTAGCTTCACAAAATAGTGCCAAATACATTCATTGGGGGTGTATTTTTACTCAAAAGACTTAGCTGAGCATAATTTGGGCGGTTTGAACTTAGTGGCACATATGAAATATACAAAACGCCCAGCAAAAATGCAATCCGTATGTAAAAAATGCACAAAATAATTTTTTACCACATACTTTGGCATATATTGGTGAAAAAATGGGGGCATGTTAAGGCACAATATGCACCTTATAAGATACCCTGGAGTGTCTACTTTTACAAATGGTAGGCCTTTGTGGGTTTTTTTTGAACAGTCAAACTGTTATAATACCCCAAATGGAAGCTAAGGTTCATTAAATCCATCTCTCAAAATTCTACTGTGAATACTGAAAAGGACAGGTATCTTGTATGGCACTGTAACTTCACGAAATAGTGCAAAAGACATACAATGGGGGTGTCATTTTACTCAGCAGATGTAACTGAACACAAAATAAAACTTTGTACAGGAATAGCACACACCAACTTTACAAAATATACACGAGAATTTCTCTGTTATAAGTTTGTGTGCCAAAAACCAAAAAGAACACAGTTTTACTCCAATATTTAGCAGAGGTTGGCGGTGAAATGGCTACGTAGAAAGTGTCAAAACAACCTTAGGTAAATAGCCCCTGATGTCTACTTTATATAAATATATAGTTTTGTGTGGCAATTTTGTTTTCTTTTATGGCTACTAAGCTTACAAGACAAACATACCAAATTCTAAAATCGCTCCACATTAAAAGTCTATTTTACTCCTTGTGCTTTGTGACCTGTAACTACCAAAAAAAAACTTAAAATCCCAGACACATTATATATTCTGTAAATCAGAACAACTAAATGAATTTATTTTTAATTACTTTTTTTAACCTGCACTAATTATGCACACATTATTATTGCAAAAACTGTAAAGAAAAAAGACAATTTTTTTTAATAATAAATAAGCATTTATATATATGTGTGTTACATCAAATTAAAGCCCTTTCTGTCCTTTGAAAAACGATGTATAATATGTGTTGGTGCAACAAATTAGTAAAATGCAAATTGCAGTTGAATGCAAACAGCAAAAAAAGAAAAAAATTCTGTTGTCATTAAGTGAAAGACAAGCTTTTGAAGCTCTGTCCTTAAGGGGTTAAGGGGTTAAACTCTGCAAAGTAAACAACGGAAAAGTTTTATATTGCAGGTTTGAACAGACAGAGCATGAAACCCAGACCACTTCATTGAGCTGAAAAAGAAATTAAGCAAAACAATTGTGTTACAAAAATAATAAAAGAACAACAATAATGTAAATGGCAAAGCCCTGTAAGATAGTCGATGTTTAGTTATTCAGCTAAAAGCAAGACAAAATGATCATAACTATCACCGGGTGATCATGGTTTCAAGGTACTGTAAGAGGCAGAAAAAAAAAAAAATATGGATGCAGAGAGGATTTCATAGATTGGCAGTGAGGTAAACATTGTATAAACATAGATCATGTGATAAGTGATGCATTCTCTAAACAGCAAGTTGTAAGTTGACAACTAGTTTATAAAATTAAGCCTAAAATAACTGACTTGAAAAATATACCCAATTCAGCTTAATTGAACGATGTATCCAACTCTAAAATTTGTTCTAAATGTGGCATGCTGTTTTTTTGTTTTTTTTATTCTACTACAACTTATTTTGTGAATGCATGTTTATCTTACTGCTGCTAGGACGATATGTTGCATGCATATGTATGTGTGAATTTCATCAGAATTATTTTAATTAGAAAATGTTATATTAAAGGGACACTATAGTTACCAGAACAACTACTCTTTTCAGAGAAAATGCAGTGTTTACATTACAGCCTAGTGATAACTTCACTGGCCACTCATCCGATGGCTGTCAGAGAAGCTTCCTGGGTCATTGCTGCCTAAAATGCATCCAAACATTCAGTATCTCCTCCCTCTGCATGCAGACACTGAACTTTCTTCATAGAGATTCATTGATTCAATTCATCTCTATGAGGAGATGCTGATTGGCCAGGGCTGTGTTTGAATCATGCTGGCTCTGCCCCTGATCTGCCTCTTTGTCAGTCTCAGTCAATCCTATGGTGAAGCACTGTGATCAGGCTACCATTTCTCATGATGTCAGCAGACTGCTTGGTTTTTTTTTTTAGGCAAACAGCATGCAGATCTACATCCAGGGCCGGCGCTTCCAATAAGGCGAACTAGGCAGCCGAGCTCCTCTCCGGTCCGCGGTGCCCAGCCAGTGTGCACTTCCAGTCAGTACGGCCGGGTCGCAAACCGGAGAGGAGCTCGGCCACGTTACAGGGAAGGGGAGGTGAGGAGAAGAAGATTACAGGGAGGGAGGGGGAGTGGAGAAGATTGAGGGGGGAGGGAGAAGAAAGAGAGACAGGGGAGTGGAAGATGCACGGGGAGGGGGGGAGAAGATTACAGGGGGAGGGGGGTGTGGAGAAGACACGGGGGAGGGAGAAGATTACAGGAGGGAGGGGAGAAGATTAAAGGAGGGGAATAAGAGAATATTACAGGGAGAGAGGGGAGAAGAGAAGATTAAAAGGGGGGAATGAATATTACAGGAGGGGGAGAAGAAGAGAAGATTAAAGAGAAGGGGGAGGAGAGATTACAGGGAGGGAGGGGGGAAGAAGAGATTACAGGAGGGAGGGGGGGGAAGAAGAGATTACAGGAGGGGGGAAGAAGAGGAGACAGGGGGAGAAGAAGAGATTACAGAGGGGGAGAAGAAGGAGGAGAACACGGAGGGGGGAAGAAGAGGAGAACACAGGGAGGGGGTAGGGGAGATGAGAACACAGGGAGGGGGGGGTTAAGGAGAACATGGGGAGGAGAGACCACTAAAGGAGGGTTGGGGTGAGGAGAGACCGAGGATAGACCACTAGGGGAGGGCGGGGGGAGAGGAGAGACCACTAATGGAAAGGGGTGGCAGAGGAGAGCAGAGACCACTAAGGGGGAGATGAGAGACCACTAATGGAAAGATGGGGAGAAAAGGAGACCACTAAGGGAGGTGGGGGGGGAGAGGAGAGACCTCTAAGGGATGGAAGGGAGAGCTCTATAGGACAGGGGGCAGGACAGGGAGCTCTTTCACACTACGCACACACACACACACACACACACAATGCATCCCTATACAGACAGAAACACAACATGCTTCCCTTACACACAGAGAAACACACAATGCATCCATTACACACACACACACACACACAATGCAACCCTTACACATAAAGACAATGCATCCTTTGCACATATACACAGAACACACACAATGCATCCCTTACACACACAGAGAAACACAATGCATCTCTTACACACACTTAACGCACCCCTTACAGACACACACTGCATCCCTTACATACCCAGAAACACACTTTGCATCCCTTATGCATACAAACATAGATTCACACAATGCATCCCTTACACACAACAAGAAACACACAAAACATCCCTTATACACAAACACACACTGATTTCTATCCCTTACATACAAACACACTGCATCACCTACACAAACTGGTATCCCTATACACTACATTCCATAAGCACACACATTAGATACTCTACAGTAACACATAACACATCCCCTACACACTCCACTCCCTGTGAGCGAACTCATGGGTGGAACATGTAGGACTTATGGGTGGGCCTTATGGGCATACTCACCGTCAGGCCCTGGGGCACAGACCTTGAGCTGTGTAAGGGGCCCCAAAAAATGGAGCTGCTTCCCGTTCTCCCAGAACATTGAATTTTGTGACCACAGTTACAAACAGCCTCCAGATATCCTGTTCTACACCAGACCAGTGGAGCCAGACTGCAGCCAGAGCCCATCACCATCCTCATCTGGTTGTAAGTAGGCAATCTAGTATATTATAAGTGACACTAATCTCTAATTTACCTCACATTAAAGGGGCACTATAGTCCCCAGAACCACTGCAGCTTAATAAAGTGGTTCTGGTGTCTATAGTTTGTCCCTGCAGGCTTTTTAATGTAAACACACACTGTGTGCAGTACTGGCGTTAGTTCATATGGGTGGGGCATTGCGATATCACTGAGGGTGTGAGGGAGGGGGGGCAGCCTAGGGCAGCAAAAATCCTTGCACCGGCAATGTATACAGCTTCTGGCTTGACTACAGTAAGATTTTGCTATATTTATGGAGGCATGAGGGGCCCATGGGGGGCTAGATGGTGGTTTTAACACTATAAGTTCAGGAATACATGTTTGTGTTCCTGACCCTATAGTGATCCTTTAAGGGATATGAAGGTATTATTACAGGACCCATATTAGGCTAAAATATGTTTTAACAGATAAATAAAATTATTTTGTCTTTATATTATAAAGCAGTATTTTTATTGTATTTTCTTTGACTTATCTATTTGCTTATTTTTTTTACAATTTGATAAATTAATTGTGTGATTAATTTTCCAATGTCCCTAAAATTATTTTTAAAAAATATATTAAAAATGGAGTATGTAGGAGTGATCTTTTCACCTATTACTAAATGAAAATAAATGTTTAAAAACAATGTGTTATTATAGAGTAACATTGAAGCTACAGTTTGCACCAGAATATGAAGCCAAGTCAGAAATGATCTAAACTGTATTTGCCAGGATTAATCTGGTACTTGTTTTTATTATTAAATCCCACTGGTTGTGTATACAGGTTAGTCAGCCAGCAAGGATCACATAAAAATTATCTTCTTTTACCACTCTCTCCAGGCCGTTTGACGCATATTACTGTGTATGTCTTATTCATGCTTTATCCCAGTATTACCAGTGAGCAGGAAATAAATGATACACACAGTCAGTTACAATGAGGTTTTACAGTTACATTAATCTAATGCTATTAACAGCCTAGCAGGTTACAAATGTTTTGCTGTAAATGTTTGTTTCTAGTGAATAGAGCGTAGAAAGATAAAACTTTTACTTTTTTTTGCAAAAAAAAACAATATATGAAAAAACAATATAAATAGTATAATAAAATGTATTTCCAAGTAATAAATATGCTTCAGTTCCTTGGTTAATAAAAACATTGTATTAACTCCATATTAAAGTTAAAAAAAAGAAGGAAGGAAGGAGTTGTGCATTATGAGCTTTGGAGTTAGAGGATTTATGCATTTATCCAGTAGATGGTGCACTGCAGCTGAATAGAATGTCAAGCACTATTTAGATTTAGCCTGTGAATAGGAAGGGAGTGATGTAGTGTGAGGGAGGAGAGAGAAGGGCTGACCGTCAGGGTGGAGGGGGGAAAGGGGGGGAGCAATGAAAGGGAGGGGAGCCGTTTGGTGTGTGGATGGAGTGAGGACAGAGGGATTTGGCAGTAGCACTAGTGGGGCTTGGTACCCATGCAGAATTAGCCCTATCACTGTGCGCAGTAGTTTGGGTCCAGCATTATTTTTCATACCTGTTGTTTGGTCCTGTTTCTGTCTGTCTCAGGATCTGTGTGTTCCCTGGCCTTCAGGATGTCCTGACTGGTCCCTTACCCCGGACTCAGGAGTTAACCCCTCCTGGGCTCCGGACCATGAAAGCGGAGAAAGAGACTGATCTGAGCCTGCTTTTTGCACCTGGGCTGAAAGAATCCCAATATTGTCCTGCAAGGCAGTGAACCAACATCACTTTTTGAGAACAAAATAGCTACCCCATGGCATGGAGCTAAGAGCTACCCCAGGACTGTGGAAAGAGAGAAAGTGACAGTCACTCAGCAGCAGCACATAACAGTGGTATCTAGCACTATATTCCTTACTACACACTTATCCAGGATAGTGTCTGGACATGGGACTAGGGAGTCCGGTGTGAGTGGAGCACGATACTTGGTCCCTGAGTATGGGGCCCCTGGTCCCACTGCTTCTGGGGGCCCTAATTTGGGTCTGTGTCTGGACGGATGACCCCAGCAAAGTGATATCAGATCGATATGCAGTATACTGGAACAAGAGTAACCCCAGGTAAGGGCCCTAAGTACATGTGATGGAAAAGGGGGCGTGGAGGGTGATAAGTATGTGAGGATCTTTGCCAGGTCTGAAAAAAGTAAGCATAAGTATATTTACTGTAGCATTTTTTACATTTTTAGAGGTTATCCCCACAACTGCTCAATTTAAAATGGTATAACTATATATATTCTGTAATAATGTGTAGCAGCTGCAGATGAATATTTGGTAAGTATGTGTGTGCGTTGATTTCATTTATGTTGGTCAAAACATTATTCTATCCAATCCTTCTGTTCACAACCAAAGTAAAAAACAACAACTTTTGGTAGATGAAAGGAAAGGATTTGCAGCAGTTGCATAGTGGATCTGGGAAGTCGTACTTCTCCAGTCTTTCTGTATGCTGCAAGAACGCAGGCTGTAATTCAGAAGTGATTTAGTTAACTTCTGACATTCTCTACCTTTGTTTCATTTGAGTATTTCACTTACATAGTATATAGTCTTCTAACTTCTATTTAATGTAGCCTATGAATCTTTCAAATGATTTGTCATGTTTTATAACATAAAATGCAATTTGGTCCTTGAATACGTTAATTATCCTAAGTACCAGTTTTGTATGCCATTATTATGCGCATTCCATGCAGTGCTGCATCTGGGTAAAGTTTTTCACTTGCAGCACCATGACTGTCCATACACATAAAACTTTACCAACTGCTCTAACTCATTCTGTTGTAGTGCATGTGATGAAGCGCTTTAACTAGAAAATAGACTGCCTTTAAACCTGCACAGCAGCACTTTCTTATTTGGTGTGTTCTTTAATACGATTCGCACACAGGAACACAATCCCATCTTTGCAGGAGTTTTCATTCACTCTGTTTACATGATTCTTTAATCTCCTTTGCTGAGTTTGTTAATCTGCTGTTAATCAAATCTGTCAATGATGTTGATTGTGTTTCGAAGTGCAGGCTGGCATGCTGGATGTGCATCATGTAATAAAGGTGGGCATGATCATTGTGTAATGCAGACGGGCATTCTCAGTGTTTGAATATAGCTGCAGATTAGCAAAGTAAGTAGTACACAGTACATATTAGCCGAAATTACCTGCGAGCTGGGACACAGTCAGTATTGGTGTGGATTGTATTGCGTAGGTTGCATGGACACTGTTTTTGTTCTTTAAAGTTTAAAAGGCAGTCTGTTCGTGGATTTTACTATTCTGGTTTACTTCAACAGGATGTCTGAAAATTGTGCAGTGCCCAGTAGCATGATCACTATGTGTTCATTGTGTATTGAATGCTGGTATGATGTATGTTTAATGTTTTGCATTCATTCTTATGTGCATGGCATGCATAGCACGGAATAACCAATATCTCGATATGTGTAGTAACAGAACTTAAGTTACTTTATCGATTTATATTTGTTTTACACTTTTTCTTCTAATAATGCGTTGACAGGTAAGTTATCTTTGAGGGGTGCTATATGGTTTTGTAATGGTAGTTTCTTCTGTTAGACAATTTCAAGTATTTTTAGTACCATATTTGATCATATATGTTTAGAAAACAATCAGTAGTAAAATGTGTATATGTAAACCAGGAGTAAAACCAACTTGTTCCTACTTCCTACCAATGCCAGATATGTATCATTCTAATTACTCTCGGGGTAGCTTCACGTCACTAACGATTATAGGCATGCATTGAAATCTATGCCCAAATGCCATTCATTAAACTTGCAATCCTTGGATACAAAATTTACATCAGTATTTTGGTTCATATTTCATGTTTATAAAATGCCAACATTAAAAAATAGAGCAGAACATTTAGCAAGGGTTTGCTGGATCAGGCAATTCACTGAGCACTGGATTGTAGTGATTTGAAAGCCAAACTGCAAAATTTAGTTCAAAATAGCCAAGCTGTGACCTGAGCTTAGTTGGAGAATTTCTTAGAAATCAGCACTTTTTGCAATATTTTTTTGTACAGTTTTCATTTCCCTAAAATGTGATGTTCACAGAAGGCAGTTGTAAAATAAATAGTTTGATCTATCTATCTATCTATCTATCTATCTATCTATCTATCTATCTATCTATCTATCGATCTATCTATCTATCTTTTTCTGTCTATTTATTTATTTACAACTATTTTGTATTCATTTACGCTTATTATATCATGCAACAATAATGCCATTTAAAATGCATCAACATTGAATTGCATAAAAGCAACTGCACTTGGCATTTTCTTCAGAGTAATTTGGTAAAGTTGTGATAACATTCAATTTGATGGAATTCCAGATTGCACCATTGCAAGAACAGGCAAGGAGGGGTTTTCCCATATCAAAATGAAGCACAATTTTTTTTTTTTGATTGTATGTAGTGATTGGAGGATGAGGTTATAAAATCTTATACTCTAGGGAACACTATGTATCAACTTTATCAACTATATAATTAACAGATATCTTCAGAGAAATTCCCCCCAAAATATAAAAATTCTGTCTTTTTTTTTTTTTTAGTTCAAACATTTTAGAATCCTATAAATTCAAATGAAACCCATTTATAAATATCCAATTATTCCATGCGCTGTTAATCCGTGCACTGTAAAATCAAATTGGTGAGGTACATTAAAGAGCAGCAAGGCACAACTCGTCTAGAGTAAAATTCACCAGTAAAGTATACAATGTATTCATTTAGAAAATATGCAGAATGAATGTATAAATGATAGAGGCTACGGATCTTTTTTTCTTTTTCTGGATTTATGAATAGTTCAGATTATGGTATCTGGTTCTTTGTCCGCAAGCAGTTAGTTTTC